GCGCATTGACATCGTTAGAACTCTAGATGGTCAAAGGACAACACGAAACCCTATGTATTGTTTGTGTGTGTGTGTGTGTGTGAGCGTATTTTCAGTGAACTAGATCTGTGGACTAGTAAAAAGTGAAGGGAAGTCACAGATACCCATCATTTCAACTATATCTGCTTAAACAGGTCTCTGCAGTTTTCAACAGACCGGTAAGAATGACAGTGAGACGGTGAAGCCCAGCATGCCGTGTACCTCACTTTTAATACTGAAGCCTGAATTTCACTTGTATCCCTCCCGTTTAACCGCAGGTTCGAGTTCTGTCTTGCCTTGCTGGATTACCAGGAGACACTGCTGAACTTCCAGCAGTTGGTCTTCGAAAGTGTGGAGAACTCGAGCTTAAAGACACTCAGCACAAACAACTGCCGTCTAGTAGCCCTGACCCAGTGCGTTCAGGACTGCGCCGCCCTCTACGACCTTTCGCTCAAGGCCATGATTAGACTGCACACAATGCTGTCGCCGGACATGCTCACCAACCATCGTGAGCGTTTCAACAATCTCTACGTCGCTCTGGAGCGATTCTTTGTTCGAGCCAACACATTCCCATTCATTCGCGACCTCCTTAAGATCCCACTGTTGCCCAATGTATGTTTTAAAGTCCAGTCGTTTCCCCTTTTCCATCCCGACCTTTCTACGCCCGTGAGACCCCATGTTTCACGGGCCACTTCACTACCACCCCAATTGTTACTCACTGTGGTTTTTCCCACACTCAAACCTAGCCATGCTGTTGGTACCCAACATCTGTAGTTTCTGCAACCAAACAGACCAGCGATTTGATTCACCTAAAGCAGCCTGTTCGCCAGGGGCAGGCGTACGGACTTGGGCACCTCTAGAGCATGTCGGAATCACTCCATGAATGAATTTGTAGTGCTGAGGGGCTGCCTTCGTCATTCAAACTCCCTTAAAATTCCAGGCCGAAAAAAATTTTCATCCAGTGTACATCAGGTCCTCTTGCGGAGTGTGAGTAGTCATCTTCACAATAAAAAGGGCACTTTCATCTGACCAGGGCAAATTAACATAATGACTTAGGGCATTTTGAAAAATCTTTAATTTGAGCGACTCAAACATTTGCCTATCCGACCAAAAGACATAGTTTCGAAGTTGAATTATTTGAAACACCCTTTCGAGGTACCTCTTTCTAACTACCTCTACTATTAACTCGGCAGTAAAACCTTGAAGAACGGGGATCAGCAAGCTGATTTGTGTGTCACTGAAAAACCTTGCGTGCAGGCTTGGTTACGTGTGTAGGAAGTCGTAATTTTGGGACATCATCCTGCACACCGCCAGGCACATGCCCACCACCTTGGCCTTAAAAGTGCAATCGGAGGAAGACGACGCTGTAGAAGTGCCTTCAAGTACAGCTGTTTCCATTTTTGAATGAAATTTAAATGGATCTATCACATCTACTGCGTGCGCTTTGAATTTAACACAGGCAATGCTGTGGGAAGTTAACAGCTTGGGGTACTTAAATGCATGAATTTTGTTCATACTCACGGCAGTATCAATTTGCAAGGCCCTAATCGACGCACTTTTCCAGATAACACACCTGTCGCCAATGGGAACATTTATGATTGTTTTTTATCAGTGAATGCAATAAAAGAAGGTGCATAAACGACCCGCCAGACCCAATCTATCAGCGTTCTTCAAGCACCTGCGTTCATTACATTGATCTTCCACTTTTGCCATTTTAACACAGAGGTAGAGGATTAGGTGAGCTCAGAGCATGATCCAAAATGGCTGCGCCCTGTGCTTACACAGCAAATGTCATTTTAACTGTGAATGCAACCAGAATATTCTAGCAAACGCGCGTCATGAAAGAAAGCCTGAATTTCACACAATTTGCGGATTTTGATGCACTTGGCAGAAAACCGATGAAAATAGCCATTATGTACACTTTAACTGGATTTGCCATGAAGGCTAAAATTTGCTAAAAGGTTTCAAGACGAATTAAACCAAATTAATTTCCTCGCAGTACCAGATAATCTGCTGAACTGGTTCAGTTAAAACAAATAAAGCTTCTTTCAAAATAACCACAACGTGTTGCTAAGCAAAAGCGAAATAACCTAGGAATTTTGGCTTAATCGTCACATTGCTTCTTAATTCTTTGATACAAAATCCCGACCAGCTTCGAGAATCCCACGAAAGTCCTTTTGATTGGTCTTCTACAAACAAAGATCGATTTACGATTACGGTGCGAGGACCATGGGTAATTTTTCATTATTTAATTTTTGTTGCTTTTTGGACAATAATTGTAATTTTAACTGAAATGGCTACTTTAAATGTAAGCAGATCATCATCCAATCAACCATCAATCCAATATTGGTTCGATATGAATGTACTCTAGCAAGCAGCTGTTTGTTAACATGTACAATCGTCGTAGTTGGTCACTTTCCAGGGCCCAAAAATGCAACTGTGAATCACGACAGCACTCAAAATGCGATGTTTTGGTGGAAGAACATTCCTGAAATACGTACCTTAGTAGGTGATCAAACTAATAATTCTGCTCACCATTAGTCGTCAACGATTGGGCAGAAATAAAATGGAATATTTCATGGCCTAATT